TAATAGAAATTCTAGAATTAGAGGTTGAGAGTAGATTAGTAGACCAGGGCTTGCCTACTTAGGTGCAAGCTCCTGAATGCCATCTCCAGCACAAAAACAAAACAAAAAGTTTACCTCAAATATGATCCCAGCACTCAGGACAGCCAGGGCTACACAGAGAAACCCTTTTTAATTATGGCAGTTTCTCAAACTTCCTTTGTTTTCCTTTTCTTTTTCTTTCTTTTTTTTATTGTTTGTTTGTTTGGTTGGTTGGTTTTTCGAGATAGAGTTTCTTTGTGTAGCCCTGGATGTCCTGGAACTAGCTCTGTAGACCAGGCTGGCATTCAGAGATCTGCCTACTCTGCCTCCTGAATGCCTCTGCCTGCTCCAGAAGACCCAGTTTTAATTCCCAGCACTCATGTGGCAGCTCACAAGCCAAGCCAACCATGATTCCAATCCTAGGGGCTTCTGATGCTCCCTTCTGGCCTCTTTTGGCATTGCATGCACATGTGGACATACATAGACATGAATAAAAAAATAAATATTAAAAAAAATAGAGGGTCTTTAGAGATGGCTCAGCAGTGAAGAGCACTGGCTGCTCTTCCAGAGGACCGGGGTTCAATTCCCAGCACTCAAATGGCAGCTCACAACTGTCTGTAACTCCAAGATCTGATCTAACACCCTGCATACATGCATGCAAAACACCAGTGCAAACAAAATAACGTTAAATAAATTATTAATAAATAAATAGATGGATAGATAAAATAAAATACAAATAAAACAAAAAGGGCAAGAACACCTACATCGAATTCTTCTGTATGGGACACAAACATACAAAAGCAAATCATCACACATCAACACAATGGGATATTATTTCCTGATAAAAAGAAATGAATTACCAGACAAGTGTGACAGTGTAGAAGGATAATCTTAGCTATATAGTGATACTATCTCAAAAACTAGCAAAAGGAAATGGTATATATCTAACTACAAAATGGATGGAGTTGGGCATGGTGGTGCATGCCTTTAACCCCAGCAATCACAAGGCAGAGACAGGTGGATCACTGTGAGTTCAAAGCTATCCTGTTCTACATAACAAGTTCCAGGACAGCCAGAGCTGTATGGAGAGACTCTATCAATAATAACTACGTTAATTATAAATGAAAATTAAGCATATATTTCTAAATCAAAGAAGCCTATCTAGGCCAGGCATGGTAACCTATGCTTGTAATCCCAGCACCCAAATGACAGGAGAATTTCAAGTTCTCCATCAGTCTGAGCTACATGAGACCCTGTAGGTGGAAGCTGTTCGTTTGTTCCCAGTCGCTCGAACCCAAAATAATCACACAGAAACTGTATTAATTAAATCACTACTTGGCCTATTAGCTTATGCATATTTCTGGCTAGCTCTTATATCCTAAACTAACCGATTTCCATTAATCCGTGCATCACCATGAGGTCATGGCCTACCAGCAAAGTTTCGGCAGGCTCCGGTAGAGGTGTCTGTCTCCTGCAGCAGCTACATGGCTTCTCTCTGACTCTGCCTACTCTCTCTCTCTACATCTCTGTTTGGATTTCCCACCTGGATATATTCTGTTAAGTCCTTGACGGAAAGCAGCCTCTTTATTCATTAACCAATATTCCCGCACCAAGACCCAGTCTCAAAACAATAAATAATAAAATATAATAAGGGCTGGAGAGATGGCTCAGTGGGTAAGAGCACTGTCTGCTCTTCCAGAGATCCTGAGTTCAGTTCCCAGCAACCACATGTTGGCTCACAACCATCTGTAATGAGATCTAGCACCCTCCTCTGGTGTGTGGGCATACATGGAGGCAGAATGTTGTTTACATAATAAATAAATAAATCTTTAAAAAAAATAAAATATAATATAATAAATGAAATTCACACATAGACACACACACTAACTCCAAAAGACAAAGGCATAATAAATTGACCAATAGAATAAAACGTGTTGGACCTTAACTCAAAATATAAAACAAACATTCATGAGTCCATAATGATATCAGTCATATAAATTAATGTGTAGGGGGCTGGAGAGATGGCTCAGAGGTTGAGAGCACTGACTGCTCTTCCAGAGGACCTGAGTTCAATTCCCAGCAACCGCATGGTGGTTCACAACCATCTGTAATGAAATCTAGTGCCCTCTTCTGGCCTGCAGGCATACATGCAGACAGAACACTGTATACATAATAAATAAATAAATAAATAAATAAATAAATAATGTGTAAATATGTAAATAAGTGTGTTATCTGGGAAAAATATCCCATACAGAAGAATTCAGTGTAGGCGGTCTATTTTCATGGAAGGGAGAAATAGGTCTCCCCCCTTTGTTTGTATTTTATTCCATTTATCTATTTACTTTTTTATGATTTATTTAATTGTTTATTAATGTTTTTTTATGTACACATGTATATGCAGTGCCAGCAGAGGCCAGAAGGGAGCATCAAATGGCTTTAGGAGTGGAGTCATGGTTGGCTTGTGAGCTGCTATGTGAGTGCTCGAATTAGAACTGGGTCCCCTGGAGCTGGCAGAGGCACTCAGGAGGCAGAGCAGACAGATCTCTGGGTTCAAGAGCAACCTGGTCTATAGTTCCAAGACAACCGGAGCTACACAAAGAAACTCTGTCTGTGAAACAAGCAAAAAACAAAACAAAACAATAAACAAAAAAACCAAATCAAAGCCGGGCGGTGGTGGTGCACGCCTTTAATCCCAGCACTTGGGAGGCAGAGGCAGGCGGATCTCTGGGAGTTCGAGGCCAGCCTGGTCTACAAGAGCTAGTTCCAGGACAGGAACCAAAAGCTACGGAGAAACCCTGTCTCGAAAAATAAAAAAAAAAAAAAAAAAAAAAAAAAATCAAATAAAACTGGGTCCTCTAAAAGATCAGTCAGTGCCCAATCCCAGGACTCAGGAGAAAGAAGCAACCAGAACTCGGAGTTTGAGGACAGTCTGGCCTAGTTCCAGATCAGCCAGGGCTATGTAGTGAGACTCTATCTATCTATCTATCTATCTATCTATCTAGCAATCAATCAATCAATCAATAGCAATAAATTATTCTTAAAAAAGAAAACAAGGAGCCGGGCAGTGGTGGCACACGCCTGTAATCCCAGCACTTGGGAGGCAGAGGCAGGCGGATCTCTGTGAGTTCGAGTTCAGCCTGATCTACAAGAGCTAGTTCCAGGACAGGCTCCAAAAGCTACGGAGAAACCCTGTCTTGAAAATCAAAAGAAAGAAAGAAAGAAAGAAAGAAAGAAAGAAAGAAAGAAAACAAGGGGAGCTTGAGAAACTGCCATAATTAAGAAGGAGCAATGACAGCGAAACATGATTTAGCATGTGATCCTGAAGGAAAAGGAGTCAAAGAAAAAACAAAAGAAACCTGGCTAACATCTGGACTTGAGTCCAAAATAATGTTTTGATGTTGTCTCATTAATCATAGCAGTGTATAATAGTGGAGAGTATAATAGGGAAAGCTGCATACGGAGTATCTGAAAGCACTCACTATCTTTACAATTTTTGTGCAATGTTCAGAAAATTAAAATGAGCTGGGTGGTAGTGGCCCATTCTAATCCCAGCACTCTGGACGCAGAGGCAAGTGGATCTCTGTGAGTTAGAGGCCAGCCTGGTCTACAGAGCAAGGTCCAGGAGAGGCTTCAAAGCTACACAGAGAAACCCTGTGTCAAAAAACAAAAAAGAAACAAAAAATTAAAATGTCCAGAAAACTTATAAAGGAGCCGGGCGGTGGTGGCGCACGCCTTTAATCCCAGCACTCGGGAGGCAGAGGCAGGCGGATCTCTGTGAGTTCGAGACCAGCCTGGTCTACAAGAGCTAGTTCCAGGACAGGCTCCAAAACCACAGAGAAACCCTGTCTCGAAAAAACACAAAAAAAAAAAAAAAAAGAAAAAAGAAAACTTATAAAGGTTAAGATTACTCTTGGAAGAATAACACCTTAAAATACGTCCTTCTCTAGGGCATCTGGTATTAAAAGACAGAAAGTGTAACGCTGGCACCCTGGGGACTCAATGCCTTCTGGTTCCGAGGATTTCCACGCGGCTCCCAGGTCTGTTGCTGCTGCTATAGGACCACACTTAGAAGAACCACAAGCTTCAAACTCAGGATGTGAGACCAGGTGTGGTGTCACGCTGTCACTCAGTAAGGCAGCAGGCCTGAACTCTCCAGCACTCCACCCACTGAGGCAAGAGTATTTTGAGTTTGAGGCCCCTGTAGGCGACACACAGCAAGGTTGTCTGACAAACAACAAATTATTGGACTCAGATCTGGCCCCCAGAGCTCCTAGCAACTTCCGGACGGGTGCAGCAGGAAAATTAACAACCGCTAAATGAAAACAATAGGTGCCGTGCTTGAGGAACAAAGCTGGACCGGGTTGAATGCGGACAATTTTTAGAAAAGCCAGTAGATGCTCAAGGGCATCCTGACGTGGACACCACCAAAGAGGGCAGGGACCTCCAGGAAGTGGGAAGAATTCTGTCAACTCCCGACTTTCCAGTAAATTTAACTGAACACAGCCCAACCTTTCGCTTGCAGCAAGTCCCACAGATACCGCTCCCGTTTTCCCAGGGGTTTCTGAGAAGATAGTGACTTGCCGACCGTCAATGAGAGAGTAGGAAGATGCGAATCCGAAGTCAGCGGTAAGTAGAGTAGTTGTTACTCAGGCGAGTCCTCCGCTTCTTCCTGCCACCCTACACCCCTGCCTTCTTGCTCCAAGCCTTCCCTCTCCCTCCGCTCTTTTCCAGTATCTTTCCCGCGGGTTCTTTCATGATTAACCACACGCATGGAGACAAGTTTGCTCTGTGTAATCTAAGCCTTGCCGGAGAGGGAATGGAAATCCTTGTCTTGACCTGCCCGGCCTCCTTTAGGTCATCGTGAGGATCAAGGGCTTAATAAGATCAAGCTTCGTTCCCGGGCTCTCCCGCAGCCCCAGCAGCTGGCCACACCCTAGTACTAGACACTACAAACATTTTATTTGGCCTTAAGGGATGGGTGCTGTCCAGCAGGTGTGTCCCGTCTCCCAGGCGGGCGGGACCGCTGTTTCCGGGCTGTCCTGGCACCCGAACCGCGCTGGGCGTGGCTGCGGTCAGAAAACCCCAAACCGAGATGACCTGGGGTAGAGGACGAGCGCGGCGAGCCCGCCGTCCGCAGGAGGAGCTGCCCAGCCCTCGGCTCTCAGCCTCTGCGTCCGCTCAGGAACCCACGGCCCGCGCCAACTCCGGGACAGCGAAACCTCCGCGCCTCGGGCACCCGGCGGAGACCGGTCGCAGGCCTCGCAGTCGGGCCCACGAGAGTTAACCAACCTGCTCCAGCGGAAGCCGAGGGCCGGGCCGCTGAGCACCTCCCATTGGCCGCCGAGCCGGCTCTGAGCTCATTGGCGGAGACGCTCGGCTGCGGCTCTTGGAGAGTCCCCATTGGCGCTGCGTTCCACCGACCGGAGAGTGGCGGCCCGGCCTCCGCAAGCTACCCCGGGTAAAGGTGCTCCAGCTCCGTAGCTACCTTGCCACGCTCAGTCTTAGCTGGAATCTTAACTTACTTCGCAGCCCTCCTCTTGCTTGTCGCCAAGGCACCTCCGGGTCTTCCCTCCGATCCTTTTCTTCTTGTTGCTTTTCTTTATCCTGCCTCTCCAGCTACCATTTCCCAACTCCGCGTTTTCCTTAAATATTCCCAGGTCCCCCTAGCCTGTCATCCCAGGCATCCCCACCTGCCACCGTCTAACTTCTGCTCCTCCTTGACCTCAGATCCCTTGGTCAACAGGGCCTTTTCGCCAGACTCTCCTACACTCCTCTTTCCCCCTTATTTGCCACCCTCTGACTCCCAAATTCCCATTAACCTTACTTCATTTCTTCACACTTGACTCTAACACTTTAGCTTTCTAAATTTCTACCTGTTGCAGCCTGGACTGCAAAAAGCCAGGTGTTGGCCCTGATATCCCTCCCTGCTTCCCGAGGCCGGTGCTACCCCTACCATGGAATTCTTGATGAGTGGTCTGGCAGCCTGCGGGGCCTGTGTGTTCACCAATCCCCTGGAAGTTGTGAAGACCAGAATGCAATTGCAGGGAGAACTGAAGGCTCCCGGAACCTACCAGCGCCACTACCGGAACGTCTTCCATGCCTTCTTCACCATTGGCAAGGTGGACGGCCTGGCTGCCTTGCAGAAGGGCCTGGCCCCTGCGCTCCTGTACCAGTTTCTGATGAATGGCATCCGACTGGGCACCTACGGGCTGGCGGAGGCTAGGGGATACCTGCGCACTGATGAAGGCATCCACAGTCCTATCCGCAGCGCTGCAGCTGGGGCCCTAGCTGGGGTCATGGGAGCCTATCTGGGAAGCCCAATCTACATGGTAAGAGGGAGTCTTGTCTGGGGCCTTCATGAAAGACCCTTGGTATAGGGTGGGAGCCTGCGCTTCATAAGGGCATTGGTGACAGGGTGCTATCTCCCTGTAAGCAGGAAAAGCCACAGGAAACTGCTGACAAGCTTCAAGACCTTCGATCTGCCTTATACACACACACCCAACTGACTGCAATGTGCTGAGATTACAGATTTTTGCTTTGGGGGAGTTCTTTGAGTGGGGGTGTCATTTGTTTGTTGAGGCAGGGTTTCCCTCTGTAGTAGTGTCAAAACTTCCGTAGCGTAGCCTGGCTTCAAACCCACACTCCAACCTAGGCTTCCCAGTGCTGCAGTTAACAGGTGTGCTCCACATCTGCGTACAGCTGGGCTTTGGAATCAGAGCGGGGAACTCGGGTCCTGGCTTGGAAAACCACTCACTGTTTCCACATTTATAAAACAGGAATAATTATAGGCATTTGTGTGGTTGTCAGGAGGATTAAAGGAGACAAATGAGATGTACATGTGAAGCATTAGTATAGGTCCTGACAGATGGTAAGCATTTGACAATATTTCTTTCCTATTTATTTGTTTGTTTGTTTGTTTGTTTGAGGACACAGGGTCTGGCTACATGGCCTAGGCGGGTCTGAAATTCACTGTGAACCCAAGCTGGCCTCTTGATCCTTCTTGCCTCTGCCACCAGAGAGCTTTGAATACAAACATGTACCACCATGCCCAGTGATCGGGTAGCTTTTGTTGTCTGGTTATTGCCTAACCCAGAGGCTGACGTTGTGTCGGCAAGACGAGGAACTGAGTGACAAGCCTCAGTGAGTGCGGGATCAGGTTCTGGGCATCACAGGATTGCAGTCTCACAGTTTACTCCTTTGAGTTATCAAATGTAGGTGAAGGGTTGGGAGCCTGAGACCCAGAGACGGTAGGTGCCCGGCTCAAGGTCACACAGCTGTTTAATGTTGGGACTAGGCCAGGCTTAGTGTAACCGAAGAGAATGAGATGATCTATAGGACAGCCAACTTGGTCTTGCTCCTAGTGTATGAGATTTGAAGACAAAGGCATCTTCAGAGTCATCTGAACTCATAAGGCTTTGGGCAGTCTGACAGGGAGGCTGGTGGAGGTGGCAGCTGGAAGTCTGACCTGGAACGGGAGCTGGCAGAAGAGGCTGGACACCCTCATCTTGCCTAACATGAAATCTTAGGAAACACTGCCATTCTCCAAACTCCACTCCCCACCCCCAGCCCCAAGGGAAGTAGGATGTGGAGGGGGCGGGGTATCTTGCAGTGCTAGGAGGTCTGTCCCCTGGGACTGCAGCCAAGGGACACAGAGTCTCATGACCAATTTGTTAAGTGGGAACAAGAATAATTATCAGATTAAAAGAATATATTGGTTGCTTAATACCCTAGAGGAAGTGTGAGGGGTTTGGGTGTTTTGGTCTCCATGGTGGGGAGATGACCATGGGGACACAGGCTATGATACTCTCTTGTCCCCAGGTGAAGACACACCTTCAGGCACAGGCAAAAGCTGAAATTGCTGTAGGGCACCAGTATAAGCATCAGGTGAGGGTCCCCCAAACCATCTCCCCCATTTTCTCCCGGCTTTCTGCCTGTACCTAGAAGCCCCAACCCTAGTCACTGCTCTGCCCACCCCCATCCAGTCCCACTCGTCAGGCCCTAGAGCCCATCCTGACCCTCGTGTATCCTTGTCCCTCCAACCTCCCACACCTGTTTTTTTCTGCCCCATTCTCTTGACCTGCTAATGCTGTCACTTCCATGCCTCCAGCCTGAACTCCAGGTTGGCAAGTGTCAGTAGACACCTGAGGGCCCCTATTCTGGCTCTAAGCCTACACTGGACTGGTTGTCTGGGCAACAGGTGCATGAACCTTGTGTTATCAGGAGGCAGTCCCTGATGGCGGGGGGACTGAACCCCAACCCCATGGTCTCCCCCCCCCCCCACCAGGGCATGTTTCAGGCACTAACCGAGATTGGCCAGAAACATGGTCTAGTGGGGTTGTGGCGTGGGGCCGTGGGCGGCCTGCCCAGAGTTGTCGTCGGCTCCTCTACCCAGCTGTGCACCTTCTCATCTACCAAGGACCTCTTGAGCCAGTGGGAGGTACTGCCAGGGAAGGGGTGGGACCATCCTTGGAATGGGGAACAAGGGTGGAGAAAGGGAGGTGGGCTCTGGATGGGATGGGAGCAGCAAGAGGGCTTGGGGTCATTGACTCCTTAGACAGGGTTCTGTCATCTACTAGAAGGGGTACCTAAGCCCTCTAGATACTCCTCCTCCAGAGTTATCATACTGTGTCATCTCTGGTGGTATGGAAACACCCAGAAATTGTGTTCCCAGGGCAGGGCCAGTTCTACCCTAAGGTCGAATGACTGTGCGGTTGATAGAATTCTTTCTCTTTCTTATAGATCTTTCCTCCCCAGAGCTGGAAGGTGGCTCTGGCGGCTGCCATGGTGAGTGGCATCGCAATAGTCCTGGCCATGACACCTTTTGATGTGGCCAGCACAAGGCTCTATAACCAACCCACTGATACCCACGGCAAGGTAAGGGAGTGCTGTAGGGAGTGCTTTCAGGCTGCCAGGGAAAGCTGGGGGTGGAAAGCAGTTCCTCGAGTGCTGCCTGCAGAGGTGTCTGACCCTGGTAGGCTCTGACCTGCTCCTCCTCTGCTCTCCCTCCCTCTGACATGCTCCAGGGCCTCATGTACCGGGGGATCTTGGACGCTCTGCTGCAGACGGCTCGGACAGAGGGCTTTTTTGGCATGTACAAGGGTATAGGTGCCTCCTATTTTCGCCTTGGCCCCCATACTATCCTCTCCCTCTTCTTCTGGGATCAGCTGCGCTCCTTCTACAGCACATACACTAAATGAGGCACGCTCCTGCGCTCCAAATCAACACTCTTTGGGCACCAGCCTCTACTACTTACTATCTTGGTGACTATTTAATGACCGATTGACTTCTCGTGAACCTAAGGGGGACAACCACACCCACTGCCTCTCAGTTCTCTTAGGCTTGAATCATTCTGAGCAGTAATTTCTGTCTTTCCCATGGATATTGCTTTAAATTGCCACACAGGTCCCCACACCCATCTCAGGGTTGAATCAGACACTCCAAAGTATATTTCTACTGCCATTCTTGGGTCCTTCCTGCTTCTGTACACAGCTTTAAAAGTCCCCCAAGACCAAAGGGAACTGGGGAGATCCAGGTGTCCTCTCAGATTCAAAGCCACAGAAACTGTGTTGTTTATAAAGCAAGTTTATTTCCGCAGAGGAGGTGTCTTATGTTTATGTCCAGGGAGGAAGCAGAAAGAAACTCCCCCTCTCAGAGCTGGGTCCCCGAGTCCTCAGCAGCAGCAGTTATGTTGTGTTCCGCCATCTTTACTGGGGACCAAAGATGTTGGGGTCGTGAAGAGTCAAACTAGTCACCAGTTGTTCAAAGTTACCCAGGCTCCAAGGTGGACATGACAGATTCTCAGGGCCAAGAGACCTGCTGTTAGAGCTTAGGGAACGGGCAGAGAAAGAATCCAGCTTGAGGTTTGCAAGATTACACTCCCTAGTACCCAGAAGACCAGGAATCCCTGACCCCCAAGCCCTTGGCTCATTTCTGCTTCCTTGAAGGAGTCCACCAGCCAATCTTCCCGTTTGACCCACCCAACCTAACTGTTGGGGGGGGGGGGCGACACCCACATTCGAGCTTCCCACCCTTTCCCTAGTCCTTACGGGGGCTGATTGAAGGTGAGCAAGAGGTCAGTCTGGTACTGGGGCAGCCGAAGCAAGGCCTGATGTAGTGTGACATCCTTTGCTACCTAAAGGGATCAGAATCAGGATGCTTACAAGGATGGTTCGTGGAGCTACCCCTCCCCCCACTCCACATCCCCTTCGCCGTGGCCCTCACCTGCTGGTTTTCTTTAGCTACCTGCTGCTTGCCAGAAAGGAACCAGGCATCTTGACAGCTGCCCCTCAGGGATAAGTTCTCCAAACAGAGAGGCTGCACAGATAACACGTGCACAGCCCTAGCCCCCTGCACCCCGCCAACGTCCTCAAAATGGTACCTAGAGTGGGGGGGACAGGGGTAGGGAGGGGCATCACTGAATAACCCATCCCCGCCCTCAAGTCTCACTCTTCTGGCTAGTCGGCTATCGCCCTTGGAGTTTTCGTCCTGAATAACCGTCCAGCCACAGGCCCCGCCCACCTCCTTGGCTCCTGGCCTCCCATTGGCTAGCTTTCTCACCGCGCAGCCGCTTCGCCCCGCACGTGGGCCTGCAGCTCCAGAAGTTCCACGATCAGACTCTGGTCGGTCACGGGATGGCAGAAAACTTCTTGGTTGTCCGGGACCGGTCGGAGGTCGCTGGAGAGGGACAGGGACACTCTAGTTGTCTCTGGCTTCTTCCCGCAACCTACCCGACCGGCCTCCGGGGCGCGCCTGGGCTTTCTCACCTCACATCAATGGCCCCAGGCGGGAGGATGGCCGAGAAGGCGCCTCCGAACAGTGGACAGTTTCTGGTGGGCTCCATTGATCTGGGACTCGAGTCTGGACATTAGCGAGGTTTTAAAGAAACCTATATGGGCCTTTGAGGCATCTCTTCCTCTGGTATTCCGGAGCAGCCACCGCCTCCTCCCGGCCTATTAAGCTCTGGGACCTTTAAGTTCTAGCCACGCCCTGCGATTACGATGACCAATCAGCGCCCGCGCTCTGGGGGCGGAGCTATCCTTGAAGGCTGTGCTCTAAAGTCCAGCTCTTTGGAAGGAGCCAGGTCCGGCGTAGGGTCGGGTCTGCTGTCCGTTCTGTGTTTAGGATTTGTGAAGCCGGTGTATGCCTGCGCCTGCTTCTTCCTTTGAAAGGAAGCACCTTCTAAGAACGTCACTTGAGACCGTCCTTAAGAACAGCTGTCCGGCCGGGCGATGGTCGTGCACACCTTTAATCCCAGCACTAGGGAGGCAGAGGCAGGTGGATCTCTGTGAGTTTGAGGCCAACCTGGTCTACCAGAGCTATTCTTGGACAGGCTCCAAAGCTACAGAGACCCTGCTCTAAAAACAAACAAATGAATGAATGAGTGAATAAATAAATAAATGAAAATAAGAACAGCTGTTTGCCAGGCTGTGATGGTGCATGCCTTTAATCCCAGCACTAGGGAGTTCGAGGCCAACCTGGTCTACAAAGCGAGTTTCAGGGACAACCAGGGTTACACAGAGAAACCCTGTCTCGAGGGTGGCGGGGAAGCTAAGAACAGTTGTTCAATTAAAGAGCCTATAGGTGGGGTCTGATGAGTAAGGGGAGAACTGTTTGAGGGTGTTCTTGGGTTACGTGACCCTGGATGGGTTGACAACCAGACTGCTCAATTCCTGGATCTATGCTGGGAATTAAGGGAAACCTCAGGTCCAGGTGTGGGGGGTCTGGGTTAGGGTTCAGACCTCAAACTTTGATACCTAATCTGAGGATTATGGTTCTAATCCCCTCAAATCTTCCCTTGGGAGGCTGAGGGTAAGCTCTCCCCCAGTACACCTGGATCAAAGCACAGATTAAACTGTTGTTTTTCCTTTACAGATTTTTAGAGTGTTCTTTATTTGTTCAACTTTATCCTTCCAGTTAGTTTCTCCATTCATCCCTGATCCCCAGCACCTGGCATAATGTTTAGACCGTAATAGACCTAGGAGTATATGGTTACACTACTGAGTACATGTACCAGTGCCAATGCCTGGGAGCCAGGAGGCCACCCGTGCCCTCAGTGGATTCTAAGAGCAGCTACTTCCCAGTTGAGAACTGAGTACTGGATTTCTCATCCCGGCCACATGAACCCTTATAATTTACTGGAATGGAGCCGAATGTTACGTGTTTGTTGATGCCAGCCATTACCTTTGTGGGCCTGGCGATACAAAGGGACACCTTACCACGGTGGAAAGGTCCCAGTGGAGCTTGCTTTGAGTTTGATTTACAGAGCTCCTGAGGGCATCCTAGAGGTATTCCAGCCAGGACCTAAGTGTAAACACTTGAAGGTGAGAAAGTGTACTCTAAAAAATAAAAATATACGGGGGGGGGCACAAGTAGATGGGATCCTCTGCCATTAAGTTCTCCCTCCTTCCCTCTCTCTCCCTTCCTCCCCTTCCTTTAACTGCAATTGTCCCACCGTAGCCACCACACTCAGTTTGGACTCCGTATTTCTTACGGTAGGCATCTGGCTTTTCTCCCAGTTTTTCCTCATCTCTAAAGCACTGTTAGGATTGAAATGTGCCCAGGTATGGTGGCACATGTCTTTAATTCGAGCACTGGAGAGGCAAAAGCAATCAGATCTCTGTAGTTCAGGACCAGCCTCTTCTGCATAGTGAGTTCCAGCCAGCTAGGGTTATATAGTGAGACTCTTCCCCAAGAAATAAACAAACAAACAAATAAATAGAATTGAGACGTGGATATAGTTAGTCAATATGTTTTTGGGTGGGTACTATGACTAGGTTAACTCCCTAAGAGAAGAGGGGCTGCAGACCCCCATGGGATAGAAGGAACCTGGCCATAGAGGGCTCTCCATGCAGACCTTTCTGCCCCTCCTCACCACCCCCCACCAGGAGCAACAACAGCTCTAATTGCTTTGTGCACAGCCAAGCAGATCAAAAATCCTTGAATAGAGACCTGCAAGGACACAGATGTTATTAACAAGATCATAGCACTGCGTACCAGGAATGGAGACCTGTTCACAGGCCAGGGAAGGGAGGAGAAAGCTGCTTCAGCTTTTCCCCCATGGAGTTCCTGGCAGGCCTCATGTTCAGCCGTGGGGCTACAGGTAGCTGGAGACCCTTGCCTTTCCCCAGTCTCTGAGCTGTAGGACAGGATGGTAGTGAGCAGAGTTGTACCAAGGCTCATGGCCAGATCTCCCCTGTGGTGAAAGGCCCCTTGTCTTGGCAGTTTTCCAGATCTCTGCTGTTGGCTTGCTAACCCTCTCTTGGTATCTGCTCTCTCCTCTAGCCTTCTCAGTGCTGACACCCCAGTGCGTCCAAATTCCCTAAGAAATGAGCCAGTTTGTTGCCATTCAGTCTGAAAAATATCTGAGCCCAGTGGGACCCTCGGCCCACCCAGCTGCAGCGGGGGGTGGGGGGGGTGGGGAGTGTCATAGACAAATCTCTGGCACACAGCTACTCTCCTCATGGTGTGTGTGTGTCCAGCCCGCAGCATGCTGGTGGCAGCAAGCCCACAACTGGGACTGGGGATTCTGTGCTCGGGGATGGTCCCTTTCCTTTGAAGGAACCAAAAGACAGACTGTGAGGGAGCTGGAAAGATGGACTAGCAGTTCCCAGCCCCCAATAGTGGCTCACAACCATCTGCAACTCCAGTTCCAGGGGAACCAGTGCCCTCTTCTGATCTCCTCGGGAACCAGATACACGTGTAGTGCCCACAGGTGCAGGCTCATAAAATAAAAAATAAACCTAATGGAAAAGAAAAGACTCCGACCCCCAGAAATACAGCATCCAGTGGCAAACATCCTTTTATGGAAGAGTTAAAGCAACGTATTTCTTGTGTGCAGGAATTTTAAGCCTTCCATCCTACCATGGGCCCCTTTGATATTTTGGTGAGATTCATGAATACTTACCCAGCAAATTTTTGTAAATTATAAAATAAAATGTTTAAGAACACAAGAGAAACTCGTTTGTTTTGTTTTTCATTATGTAGTCTTGGCTGAACTGGAACTCGACGTGTAGACCAGGCTAGCTCCAAACACAGAGAAGTGTCTACCGTTGAATGTACGTGCATTGCATGTGTGCGTGTGTGTGCGTGCGTGTGTGTGTGTGTGTGTGTTACTTGTGGAGTTCAGAAGAGGGTACTAGATCCCCTGGAACTGGAGTTAAGGATGGTTGTGAGCCACCATGTGGGTTCTGGATACCAAACCTGGGTCCTCTGTAAACACAACAAGTGCTGAGCCATCTTTCCAGTCCTGCGGCTATTTTCTTTTAAAGACCTATTTTTATTTGTATGTGGTGTGTGTGTGTGTGTGTGTGTGTGTGTGTGTGTGTGCCAGGCTGGAAGAAGGTGTCAGATCCCCCCGGGAGCTGGAGCTTTGTGAGCTACCTGAAATGGGTGCTAGGATACACACTCAGTGAGTCAGCTCTCCAGCGTCGTGATGGTGGAGTTTTGGTTTTCACAGTTTTCTAAAGGTTACTTAATATGGATAAGTCTTGTATCTGCATGTATGTGTGTGTACCACCTGAATGCCGGCTACCCACAGAGAGTGTTAGAGCCCCTGAAACTGGAGTTACAGGCCACCATGTGGATGCTGCTGAACTGGGTCTTCTGCAAGACCAGCCAGTGCCATCGCTAAGCCATTCTGGCAGTCCCGAGTTTCCTTTGAGACGGGAGTGTCTTTGTCACTACAGTGTATGCCAATCTGGCCTTGAATTTGAGGTAGTCCTTCTGCCTCAGCCTCCCAAGGGCCAGAATTTCAGGTGTGCCACCATGCCTCACTAAAAACAAAAGCATATTACTATCATTTTAAAAGATTTACTTATTGCCAGGTGGCACATATCTTTAATCTCAGTACTCGGAGGTAGAGACAGGTGGATCTCTGTGATTTTAAGGCCAACCTGGTCTACAGAGTGAGTTCCAGGACAGATTCCAAAGCTACACAGAGAAACCTTGTCTCAAAAAAACAAAAACAAAAAACAAACAAAAAAACCAGCCATTCTGCTCTGCCCCACCAAATATATTATGTATTATTCTTTTATTTATTTGTTTTTGTTTCCTTGCTTGCTTTTGGTTTGTTTTGGTCTTTTGAGACAAAGTTTCTCTGTGTAGCCCTAACTGTCCTGAAACTTGCTCTGTAGACCAGACTGGCCTCAAACTCAGAGATTCTCCTGCCTCTGCCTCCCGACTGCTGGGACTAAAGGTGTGTGCTTTTATTTATTTTTTAGTTCTTTTG